CAGTGCTAGAGTTTGGTAAAACGGAAAGGAATTATTTATTCAAAAGTTACACAGGTTTGGAGTAATGGTGGAATGTCACCACTAAATCCCAAAGTCCCTTTAAAACACCCATCAATACACACCATCCAATCTCCCCTTGCCAAACCAGGCCAGTCAGGGATACCGTATCTCAGGAAAAGAAGTAGAAGTCCGTATAGCTTAGCTAGATTCCAAGTTTCTCCCAGTAATCTGTGCTCAGCTGGGCAGGTCTCTTATAGTTCCCAGCACCATCAGCTGTGTCACTGAGATCTCCAGTTCTCAATCCAAAAGCACATGGAACCTCCTCATGGCCCACCAGTTAGACTCTTTTCACCCCTTTCTTCCCACTTAGTCTCCCATTGTCTCCTGCACCTCAGTGGTGGCCATCCTTTAGTTTAAATCACAGCCTGAAACCTCCTCCATAACCCCATTTCCAACTCCTCCCACAATTGGCTACACCTGCCAGCAATCCCATATTTTCTGCCTTTCTTAGCTGCCACAGTTAGTCCCCATGGCATGAATTGAACCATCTCCAAGCTCTTACCAAGGGGGAGCTGCCTGCCAGTTACATCACAGGTTAAAGTCATGCATACCTTTCCTTCTCCACTCTGGAACAGTCTGCTGTTACCAATATGCAAAATAACTCTCACTGGCCCTGCTCCATGTCTCCCATCCCTCAGCCAGACTTATGTAGGGGGCCTCCTCAGCCTACACTCCATTCCAGTACTGCCCCTGTGACAGATGTTGACAGCCTGGAGGGAGTGCTTTTATGCTTTCTTCACAGGTGCTCCCAGGTAACTGAGTTTGGACACATGATCTGAACATGACCTGACCACTATTTCCTAGGTCTCAGCTCACACAAGTGTTTTGTGCACCTGGCAGAGTGAAAAATGTGTGCTTGTGCTTAGTCCTTTTTCTCAAAGGTAAATTGTTCTCAGCTACCCTTCTGACATTGAGAAAAGCCATACCTGTTAACATATGCAAGCAGTTTAGCATTTTGAAAGTTGAGATTTTCCTGGATTATTCAGGCTAAAGCTTGCAAACCAAGTTTGGGTCCATTATATCTGGCCCAGCATTCAATATGTGCCCAACGAATGACTATAAACACTGCCTTAAGCAAAAAGGAGTTAAGAAGGCAAATCTAACGGCAGTGGTGCATGGCCGCCTGCTCTGGCATGGGTCAGTGAAGGAGACAAATGAGCAGAAACAGGGCACTTTAAGTCACGTTACGGGCTTAGTTCACTGTGACGAAATCAACTGTATCCCTGAAAAATTTAGTAACACCGTTTACAAATTAAATTCTATTCCTTTTGGCTTCTTATAATTTCAGAGACAATTTTCCATAATTTCCAATCAACTTTCAACTGGCAACATTTCTTAATTTAAGTTTTAAATTTCTTTTTCCTCTTGCCAAGTTTTTATATTAATATTCTATAAAACAACTAAGGCCTTGGGAGAAGCCCTTTATCTTAATCTTAACAGAAAAACCATAATTTTGTTATTTTGTAAATGTTTTACAATTTTTCTATAATGAATGAACATTTTCAAATATCTCTTCTTTAAATATTAGATTTCTTTCATAGTAAGATATGCCTTTATTTCAGGGTATGTGGTATGTACATGTATGTGCAAGTATGACTGTGCACATGTACATGTGCAAGCACAGCTTTTTCTTAATGTAACTTATAGTCTCCAATTAGATGTACCATTTATATGCTGGGGGGGGCCTTTCAGATCCAGGTGTTATATTGAGACGTGGAATTTCTGGGGTAGCCTTGTCTCCCACCTGCAGTCCCGCTTGCGCCTTCTCCTCTGCCCTGCATGGCCCTCCTTGCCTGCCAAACTCCTCTTCCCACATTAGCCCCTGCCACTCAAAGTGCAGCTGGAGAGGGTGACCTCATCTGGGAGCTGGCCAGTCAGCTCAGAGGGCAGATTAGAATCCACACTCCAGTGCACCCTATACCCTAACACACTACTGAAAACTCATGCATGTTCTCCTTAGCTGGGATACTAAGTAAATGTTGAATAAACAGTAGTTTTCTTCTTTTGTCACCTTCCTTTGAAGCTGATCTCTTGTCTGTTTTTACATCACTGTCTATAACCTCTGAAATCATGTATCAGGTTGCACAGATGACCGTTGGCTTCTAATTGATCACTCGGTGGGTTGATACCAGAATCACTTGGTTTTTTGTCCCTATTTCAGAACTGCCACATCAGAATCTTTAAGTGTGGGGCCCAAAGTCTGCATATTATCTAACTCCCTGGTTAGGTCTTTGTTCACAGAGTTGGAGAGCCAAGAGCCATTGCATTGTCTATGTGCTTTCCCAGGACAAAACAAGGGTTAATGGTGAGACACTGAGTCCTGGAAATGAAATAGATTTTATTCATTTAACAAAAATGTATTGGGAGTTAACTAGGTCCTAGGTATTTTGCAAAAACTTAAAAATATCAAAACATCATAGAACCAACATATTGCATAATATTTGTGAGATACACTAATAGTTTTAAAAGCATTCTTATATCTGTTATCTTAGTTAACTCTGTGAGGCAAACAGTGTCCCTGGGGCTGGTACTCAGAACTAAGCCTTTAAGTGTCCAGCCTCATGCTAGATGAGCTTACTTCATCCAGCCAGTATTGAGCACCTGCTGTGTGTTCTAGGAAGCATTCTAGACATGGTGGAGATGATGATGAACAGAATAAACACAGCCCCTGCCCCCAAAACTATATTCTAGAGGGGATCCTAGCAGGGAAAGAAAAGCAACTTAGGCCCTCTGGGAGAAGAGGAATAAGAGGGGGCAGGAAAAGGCCAGGTGGGGGAGTATGTTGACAGGAAGCCCAGGCTGGGGTGAAGGGTTGGGGGCTCTGACAGCTGGGCCCAGAAGGCCATGGACCTTCAGATGCCATCCCTCATATCCATTAGTGTCCTCTCAGCTCCAATGCCCTCCCCAATATGGCACATTTTAGTAGTGTTGGCCTCAGGAGCCCCAGCTAGGTGGGGGACAAGGATGCCCTGAGCCAGCCTCTGAGCCAGCTGCATGATGCTCCCTAGTGGTTGAATTACTGAAGCTCTCTTAAGTGTGCTCAAATACATTTTTTTCAAGAATGCCAAAACAGGGCTGAGCTGGGCAAAGTAAACAGATAGGGTTGCCCTGTGCCATGTCAGCCTGTACCCACCCACCTTCTCCCTACCAGCCCTTGGGCTTGCCTTTTGTCATCATGGACACTATTTACATCTGCTTCTATTTTTTAATATCAGTGCTAGAAGTAGAGAAAAACATGACTTATTTATACTGAAGTGTTCATGACTTAGCTTAGGCATATGCATGTTACTATATATGTGTATTTCAAGGAAGTTTCAGCAACTGACTCCCCCTGGTAGCTTCTAATCATGCAGAGAAGGAAGGCAGAAGGAGGCAATCATGCATCTTTCCCCGCAGAGTCTGGTGAGCCTATGACAAAGCAGACTTTTAGGTGGCCATCACTGACCCAGTTGATACAGCTTCAGACTTCTGTGCATGGCCAGGCTTTCTCACCATATCCCTGTATCCATCTGCTACCTAGCTTCCACTGGCCATTAAAAAACTAAATTCCAATGAAGCCATGAAAACATCAAAATTGCAAGGCACACACATTATGCTAAAAAGCACCTCTCCATGTGTCTATGCTCTCATGCTCTTTCACTCATGTGTCCTCACACATACCTGCACACGTGGTGCAGCCTCCAGTGAGTGTGAAGCCTGTCTCCCACACCCAGAATATCCTTAATGTTTCAATGACAACAGTCGAAGCACTCCATGCACTGCACACCAGTATTGCCAAGGGTGGCAAGGTGAGTGCCCACTCACTCCCACTGCTGCACAGAGTTCAGGACAAACAGAAGTGCAGACATGATCGCTGGGACCGCCACGGACACTTCATCCTTGTCTGGAGGAGTGTCACTGCTGCAGCCTGACTCAGGTACTTGTGGAAATCATGCTCTGAGCCCACACAGCATGAGATGAAGAGATAAGCTCTGCAGGGCCCAAGAGTCCTGAGGAAGACCATGCAGGGGTCCCACTTGCTGGTGGCTAGTTAGGGTAGATGCAGGAGGTTCTATGTAGGAACTGGGAATGAGTTCTACACCTGGAGAGGGGGCTAGGTGTCCTAATGGGATGACATTGAGACATACTTCATTCTTATAAAGGAGATTCTTCTGATTATTTCACTGGTTGTGAAATAATGTGGGCAACCATGTCCTGAATGTTGTCACATCCCTGAAGGTATGAAAGCCTTCTGCCAGGTGAATATTATGGTGAAGAGTTTTATGGTGAAAACTCTTCACCATAATATTCACCAGTGAAGGAATCCAGGGCCTGGGAGACTTTGCCCTCACCAGGGACCACCCTCAGCTCTGGGACAAGCACGTGACTCTCCCTGAAAAAATCAAGAGGTACATATATGCACACATGTGCTGCAGGTTTCCTGTGTGGTACAGATTATATGTGCAGAGGAAAGTTTGCAATGGAAGCTGTGTCCAGAATCCCTAAGGCCGAGGGAGCTAATCTCAGGGAGCCTGATGCAGAATAATTAAGCCCCAAGCATTGAAGTCCACTTAGAAAAAGTGGGTGAGGGAAAACCAAGTTGTGTTGGCTGCTGGTTCCCCTGACACAACAAATGAGTTGCCAGGCTAGGATGGGTCCTGTGATGGTCAGTGGGCATGTTCTCAGGAACAGCCCCCTGCAGCACACTATCTTGGGAATAGCACTCTCCTGTCTGTTCCAGGTGCCTTCTGGGCTGTTTGGAGCACTTAGGCCAGGTTTGGAGAAAGGAAGGAAGACATGAGTTGGAAAAGCTCTCAATCTTAGCTTTGTTTTTTCCTTTAGTCAGCTTTACCAGATTATGTTTAAAGTTTCCAAAAGGATTATATTTCCCTCCTCTCCCTAACAACAAGGACACTTAGAAGCATTAGTCCACTGGATTTTAATTTTGTGTGTCTTTCTAGAAAGAGAAGAAGAGTGGGCTGCTGAAACTTCTAGCCGGGGCATCCACCAAGAAGAAGTCTCAATCCCTGACGTCCATCTCTCCCACCCATGATCACCAGGTGGCAGTAGACACTTCACTTTATGGTGCAGTGGGGCTGGAAGTGTCCTCACTGTCCATCCATGGAAGGGCAGAGTCCTGCCCCATAGACAGCGAGATTCAGGGGGCAATGGGGATGGAGCCACTGCACAGAAAGGTGGGCTCCTTAGATCTGAACTTCTCATCACCTTCTAGGCAAGCCCCTTTCTACATGGCCATCACCTGCCCCAAGCCCAAGCCCAAGCCCAAGCCGGTGCCTAGAGAGAGGTAAGAGTGGAGGGTCAGTGTGCATCCTCTAAGACTTCGGTGTGGATTGGTTTGTGAAGTCTGGAATGACAGCAGGAATTTTCTGAGGATTTAATTGACTAGACATCTATCACTAGCCATATCTACTGAGATCATCATGGATGGTAAGCATTGCATAAAACAAATTTGGGAATAAATGGGAGTATATTTTATGTTCTAAATCTATCTGGGTCCTGAGTTTGGGATTTATAAGGGATTCATCATGAAATTTTTCAGAACCAATGGGATACTGAGCCAAAGAGGGGCAGTGAGAGGACTGTGTTCTTTGAACCCTGGGGAAACCCTGGAGTGTGGCCAGTGGGCTGAGTCTCCATGGGCCTGTACACCCTACCCAGGAAGCAACTTTTTTTGAAGCGTAGCCCACTCTGACATTTTAGAATTATAAAAAATAACCCCCCCCAAAAAAAAAACCAGCTTCAAAGGTGTATACTCAGTTGGGTTGAACTATATAATAACATTCACTTTTTTAAAACCAAAACCAGTAATTTCATAGAGTTCAGCCTGGCAGGGATGTCCAACCCACAGTCCAGCATGGCTATGAATGTGGCCGGACACAAAATTATAAATTTACTTAAAACCCTTTTTTGCTCATCAGTTTTCATTAACGTTTATGTATTTAATGTGTGGCCCACGACAACTCTTCTTCTTCCAGTGTGGCTCAGAAACGCCAAAGGGTGGATACCCCTGCAGAGTTTCATGAAAGCGGTCTAATTAAGATGACATGGCCCACTGAGGCCTTGTGCTGTGGGAATGTGGGTGCTGAATTTGACAAAGAGTTAGAGGCTGGAGTCTTGCTCAGTGGGTCAGCTTTAAGTAAGGGCTGGAAGGTGCTGTAGAGAGAGGAGATGACATCGAATTAGGATAATGGATAACTACATTCAAAGTTTCTTCTCATTGGATCACCGATTAAATGGTAAGCATAAGAAAACCATCCTGGCAATTCTGTCAGAATTTTTCACCCCACATGGCCAAACCAACTACCAGCCAGTTCTTTCACATGTCTCCCAGCACCTGTAGCCTAAAAAGGCCACCACTCTCCTGAGGTGAGCATCTGTTCACCTCTGGTGTCATGTCAGGGCTAGCTGAGGTTCTATATAGATCAGGATTAGCACACATTCTCTGTAAAGGTCCTGATACTGAATGTTGCAGCCGTAGCAGGCATAGTCTCTGTTGCAACTATTTGCCTCATCATGATAGAATGAAGGCAGCCATAGACCATATGTAAATAATGGACATTGAAATTTAAATTGCATGCAATTTCTTGTGTCACAAAATATTCTTTTGATTTATTTTTCAGCCATTTAAAAAATGTAACAACATTCTTAGTTCTCAGACCACGCAAGACAGGTGCGGGCCACAATTTGGCAACTCCTGGTCTTGATGATGGAATTTAGAGCTGAGCCATTGGGGTGGCATTGAAATCCTGGGCCACTGAGAACAAATCTCTGCCCAAGGATGTAGAGGGACAACATGGGCCAGCAATTCTTGACTTCTGATAAACAGGGAAAGTGTAAGTGTCTCTTTACACCTGCTTTTAGACTTACAGGATTTACAGAATGCTCTGGGCAGGGGTGATATTCAGAACACTTAACAATTGGTATGGATTCTAGCCATAAACCTCCCAGATAGCCAGTCTCTGAATGTAGTTTAATATCTGCCAACATCCCAGTTAGTCCTCCCAAGAACCCTATGAATTCAGTAACCCCATTCTATAGAAGAGAAAACTGAAGTTAAGTAAAAAGGCTGAGCAATTTGCTTATGATCACACAGCAAGTTAGCAGCAGAGCCAGGGACTGAACTGAAGCTTTCCAGCCCAAGAGTACAGACTCTGAACCACTCTGTTTTGTGTGGTGCATTGTCAGTAGCCACCTGTGCTCACCTGGCCCACAGAAAAATCTAGGTATATTCAGTTGTAACAGTACAAATGTGTCACAAGATATCAGCATCTGCTTCTGGATCCTCCACAGTGGATCACCACCCCATTGTCTATCCAAGCTATGCCTGTGGTTCTGACCTCCCAGCAAGACCCATTCTGATTAAGTGCCTTGCCACAGCAAGACTCCAGGCCCTCTAGAACTGGATTCATATACCATACCACCACATGCACACATACCACATAAACAACACACATACTTCACACAAACGACAGACCACACAAGCACACACATCACAGAAGCACACATCCACCACAGCAAAAACACACACCAAGCAAACATCTCAACACAAAAAACATACTGCACATAACACAAACATTAAACAAAACAAAAACAATCCAAAAGCACCACATAAACACGTTAACACAAACACACACTACGAACACAAACAGCACACAAACACACACTACATATACACCACAAAACACATACTAAACACAAACATACCACATAAACACACATACAGACATATACCACACAAATACACACATACCACAAAAACCCACACACAACACAAACACATATACCACACAAGCACACATATATACCATATATCCAAACAACAAATACAACACACACACCAAATACCACATACCATATCAATCACTATAACAAAATCACCACAACACACAAGCACATAGAACACAAACATAAAAACACACCACAAATACATATTTCACAAATAACACACATTACACACACACTACAAACATACAAACACATAACACAAATACATATCACACAAACACAGACATCATAGCACACATACCAAATACTACATAACTACATTTGAGACAAAGAGCATAGCACACAAATACAGACCACAAATACACAAAACACCACACTGATACAACAAATACCACAACAAAGAAACACATATCTTATCTTATAAACCACACTCTACAGAAACATACCACACAAACATAACACTACTCAAACACACACACCACATAAACACACACAAACACACATAAGCCCAATACCACAAATTTACACCATACATATCATACAAATACCACACAGTACAAAAACTACAGACACAAGTATAACACACAAACACACACAATGCAAACACAACACACATATCACACAAACAAAAAAGCACCACACAGCAGACAAGCAAACACACTACACACAACCACATGCATCACAGAAACACACATGAAACACTATGTAGCACACAAATACATTAAAACATACAAATAGGCATAATTACACAGCACATAAACATACACAGTACACAAACCTATACCACAAATACATATACCCTTCACTATAAAAACATCAAACACTAAACACAAAAACAGACACCACGACTACATAAAAATCACATTAACACACACACCACACATATTTTATACACACAACAGAAACACCATAACACATACCACAAATACACATCACAAAAACAACACACAAAAATACATAAACACATACCTCAAGTGATACACACCACATAAACACACACCACACAAACAACACAACACATATATTACACAAAAACAAACACGCTAAAAATACAAGCTACAAAAACACAAAACCACACAACCATAACAACCACAAATGCACAGCACACAAATATGAATCATCTCACAAACACACACACCATGGAAACACTACATAAACTCACAACACCCACACCACAAATATACATATAGCACTCACCACTGAAACACACACAAACACACATATACTACACAAACACAACAGAAACACCATTGCACAAATACCACACAAACATTACACACTATGCAAACACATACTGTTAATACACAAACACACCACAAAACACAGCACAGCACAAATACACATCACACCAAAACAACAATGCATATATCACACAAACCTACACATACTACAGAACACCATGCACCACACGATAAGAAACAACACAAAAATACACTTAACACACAAATGCTGTGCAAGCACATACCATATAAACACATAAACAACAAATGAAATATACACCACTTAAACACATAATCCTTACAAACACCACACAAACACATGAACCACATAAACATTTAAAACACCCAAACACACACCATGCAAACACACAAACACATGAAATAAACACCACAAACACATATCACACAAACCATATATACTACACAAACAAGACGCACATACCCTAAAAACACAAATAAACACCAAATAATACACACCACATAATCACAAACACCACACTATCACTACACATCACACATACCACACAAGCATGCAAACATCATACAGGCAACAAACACCATATAAAGAACACATACACACCACATAAATACCACATAAGCATACACAGTGCATGAACAACACACAACATATACAAATACACAGCACACAGGACATACAAAGACATAGAAACAAATACACACTACAACTACAAACCTACCACACAAACATTACACCACAACACACAAACATACTGCTTAAACACACCATCGAAACTCAATGTAAATAGTCAAATACAAACTCAAACCTCATATATGCAACACACAAAAAACACCACACAATACTCTGCACAAATTAACTGCAGAAATAACACCAACTACACATACACTACAAAACACATCCACTCCAAATACACGCATACCACACAAACACCTGTCAAATACAACACACTGAATATACACATAAATACACACCATAAAAACATCACAACACAAAAAAAATACCACACAAGCACCCAAACAATTAAATCATCACAAAAATACTTAAACACAAACCTCAAATACACAAAGCACAATCACCAAACACTACAAAAACACTGCACAATACACAAACACTTTCACTCCACAAACACACCATAAAAGTATCACAAAGAACACATACATACACATAGAAACTACAAATACATTCAAACAACTCACCAAACAGATACCATATAATAAGTACACACACCACAAATATACCACACAAATGCAAACCACACAAACACACACTACACAAACATATACCCCACACAGACATATGCAGTATACAAACAACATGTACCACTCAAGCACACACACCACACAAGCACACACCACTAATATAT